AAAAAAAAAAAAAAAAAAAAAAAAAAAAAAGGCTTCAAAAAAATCTGAAAAAACGATATGTTATGGAGAAAAATAAATTAAACAAGATTTGCCTGAGCATTACAACCGAATTCCTTACCAAATTTGAAATAAAAATAAAATGCAGAAAACAAATACTAATAATAAAAATAAATAAAAATAAAAAGAGAATTAAATGTAGTGAGTGAGCGAGCATGTTTTCGACACGGCCATCGTTGGCGATTTTTCATTTTTTTTTTTTGGCATAGCTAAATGCCCTGAAAATTTACAGATGTGTAACTCACGAAATACAAAACCCACTAAAAAAGTTCCAAAAAATAATAAAATTGTTTAGACCCTGAACTAAAGTGAAAACAAAAAGTGAAAAGTGAAAAAATACGTGGGCGAGCACGTTTTGACACCGACATCTTTGGCGATTTTTAATTCTTATTTGGCTTAGCCAAATGACTTGAAAATTTACAGGCATGTACCTCACGTCATAGAAAACTTACAAAAAACAATTCAGAAACAAATAGTTATTTTTAGGCCCCGAAATATTTTTTGGCGGGGGCCGAACGCCGTCAGGTTCGGACCCCGTACGGGACCCCGAACGCCCATACGTACGGAGGTCTGCCCGGGGACCTCCGTACGTACGGGCTGGTGACCCTGCTTCTATTTTTATTTCAAATCGCTTTCAAAAAAAAATTAATTCCAAAAATACGTCAAGGAATTTTCCATTTTTAATTCAAAATTATCCTCTGCACTCATCTCTGCCTCTTCTTGTATCTCCCCGTTCGAAAATTTTTACGAATAGTTTTGCAATTTATTGAAATTTGCTTAAATTTTGCTTAAATTCTGAATTTACGTCCAAATAAATTTGGAATTTTATTTTGAATTTGTGATTGTCTTATACATGCTCTCCTCCACACCACACACCATTCTTTGAAAATTTCTTCTCATTTTCCTTGCTCCAATTGGAAATTTTCCCTTTCCACCCTCAATCCGATTTTGAATTGTCTTGATTGAATTCCGGAAGTTCGCTAGAGCTCATTTCTACACGCATTCCCTTCTTGCCCCCCTTTCTGCATGCCAATCTGGTTCCCCGAGATAACCAGCAGCTCGTACTCTAAAATCGCGCTCGAGACGCCCGTGCCGCACACCGACTCGCTTGCTTTGACGCGTTAATCGCTGCCACTGAGCGCCCCCCCCCATCCAAATTCCCTCTCTTCATCGTCTTCATCCCCTGACTCTATGCAGAGTGTTGAGCTAGCGAGTCCCTCTGCTCCATCAGCGAAGGCCTTGCGTTCCTAGCTCGTGACACCATGTCTGACTCGGCGGAGATTCTCAACCCTGCGGCCAGTTCGGGCCCCGCCACCCAGTCAGACCCTGTACTGGCCCTCCTTCAGCACATGTGGGCCACATTCGAGGCCAAATTCACGGCCATGCAAACCAACTTTGATACTTTGTCGGACCGAATGTCAAAGATGGAGTCGCGTGCCACCATACCTCCCTCCTCTCTTCCCCCCCTCCTTTTCCCACACACATGTTCCTATTGAATCATACCTCCCCTCTCCCCAACTTGGTATCCCACAGTCCTCCCCCCCACCTGCGTCATCAGCGTCTCTGCCCGCTTCCTCTCCTTCTTCGGCTGGCGTCATGTACACGCTTGTCTCTTCCACGGGTGGTATGCCTTCTCCCCAGACCCACCCTTCTTCTGCAGCCACCTCTTCCTCCCAAGTTTCCACCTCCGTACTTCCCTCCTCAGGACCCATGACATCCTGTCCCGCCACCTCCTCAATTTTAGTTTCCACGGCACCTACCTCATCAACCCCTACTTCTTTACCTCCCTCCCCACCCCTTATGACACCCAGGACACAAAATGCTGAGCTCCAAAGCCGACTCGCCATGGCCCACGACCACATCCGCCGGCTCCAAGGAAGTCAACCCTTGCCTCCCCACCTCGCGGCACAGCCTGCTGCCCCTTTCATCTACCGGCAGCATCAGGCATAGGCCGCTGTGATGCACTTTACTCTTCCTCCATTGGCCACCATGATGTCTCATGGCCCTTTGCCTCAACTTCCTGTCTTGTCTAGCACCCCTGTGGGTGCCCCTAGTTCCTCTATCCTCTTGTCGCAGTGTGCCCTCCCCCTCCCTCCTCATTATCAGCCGCCGCCCTATGTACCTCGGTACCGCCCTCACAGACTCCCCCAATTCGATGGCAAGGCCTCCGGACTCTAGGGCTGGATCACCACATCCGAGGAGCAACTCCGGTACCATGGTGTAAACATGGACTTGTGGCCTACGCAGATGTCAGCTCGCTTCACAGCTCGAGCGGCTTCCACTTGGCGTGACTTTCTCGCCCTTCGTGCTCAGCAGGGCGTTCATGCGAGTATGACATACGCGGAGTTTCATGATTTTTTCCATCATTACTTCTCTCGCCCGACGCCTAAGCATGACCCTATCACACGGGTCGCCGAGATCAGGTGGCTTGGTAGCAACAATGCCTTAGAGTTGTACATCACGACATTCCACCATGTTCCCGCCCAGATTCCCCCCTCCGTCATAGCCGATGACGCTATGGTCCAGCGTTTCCGTGTCGGGTTACCCCAACCCTTCCAGCTTTAGATGTTGGCAAACACAGTCCACACCCTCCCTGAGGCCTTCAGCATTGCCAGGGCCATCCAACTCACCTATGCACCTCTTGTGGGCTCCACATCTGAGCCTGTTGCTGCACCTCCCGCTACCACGTCTGCCCCTGGCACATCTCGCCCCCGATTGTTCTCCACGTCTCACTGCGGCCCCCGCCGAGTTCCTGGATGCACCTTCGTCCGCCGTGTCCAGACTATGCTTCGCGAGTCGTCGAGCGTTGAGGAGGGTACTGGTTCGGATGGATCCCATAGTGACCCAGACCAGGGACATGACCCCCAGTCTCTTGTGGATGGTGATGATCCCGATCAGGACGAGCACCTCGCCCACGCCTTCTCTACTTTCCTCAGGCACCGCCAGTCCTCCTCATCGAGGACCCGCTCATTGGCCACACAACAGCCCCTCCCATCGGGCTACGTCTTCCCCCGGGCCCGATTGACTATCGCGGAGATTGAGGACTTTCGTACACGAGGCATATATACCCATTGTCGCCTACCTGGTCACACTCCGTCCACCTACCCCTACGTTGACGCCCTCCAGCGTCACTTTGCTCAGCAGTCCCACCCTCAGCCTGAACCCCCCGTTTCGACCTCCAGTGCTGCAGCCATCTAGCGGCGATCTCCCGTCCCCGTGATCCTCCTACAATAGAAGGCATACCCGCTCGCAATTCTACCTTCGAGTTGCTTGCTACTCTTTCTGAGGACTCGGGCTTTATCTCACCGTTGGTTGATCCTAGTGACGCTGGTGCACCCTTCCCTTCTTTGCCTAGTGTTTCTCACGATCCTCGTCCTCCTCGTCCTTCTAGTAGGCGTGCTCTACGCACGGCCCGCTGCAGTGCTTCCCTTGTCGCAGACGAGAATATCATTGACTTCCTGGACCTCGAGTGTGTTAACGTCCACTAGGAACGTCTCCGCCTTAGAGAGCATACCCTATCTGCGATGTCTCAGCGCCTACACAATCCCGATCGCACCTTACCGATTATTCCCGTGCGCCTCGAGACCTCCACTAGAGTGTATCGCGCACTATGGGACTCTGGCTCTACTGGCGACTTCATTCATCCTCGCGTAGTTAAGGAGGCATCTCTCTATACATCCGCCTACCCTTCTACTGTCAACGTTACACCTGATGACAATCAGGCCAAGTCCTTCGTCGACTATGTGGTGCCTGATCTCCTATTCTCCTTCCCCTTGCGGATGCCCCATAGCCTTTGCATGGCCCCTCGGTTCCATGACCAATGGACCTTCGACGTCATGGAAACCCTATACAACCTTGTTCTCGACACCGCCTACTCCCATCAGTTCGCCTATTCTAATCCTGATTGGATCCACAATGACCTCGTCCTCAACGCTAAGGATGAGAAGCAATACCATATTCCGGTGTTGGGCAAATCAGACTCTACATCCCCCTCTGCTGTCAATGTCTCCATCTTAACACCTACTCAGCTCCACTACATCCTTCGTCAGCCTGATGTCGAACTCTACATTGTCGACATCACGGATCTCCTTGTCTGTAACTCCATGCATCAGGACGCTGAGTTGGTCGAGCTCGATCCACCATTCCCCGAGCCCCCCGAGCCTCCTGATCCTTCAGCCTCCTCGTCCTCCTTCACCCCTGCTAGCTCATCTCACCTTATTGCATCCTTTACCACGGAGACGCCATTGGTACCTATTCCCATACCGACGCCTTCCACCCCTTCTTCAGACGCTGCTGTTGCCGAGGAGTTTGACAACCTCCTATTGACTCTGCAGCCTAGCGTTGCTGCCCTCCTTCGCGAGTATCGTGATGTTTTCCCTCCATCTGTCTCTTATAGCAGCATCCCTCCCATGCTCGATATCGAGCACCACATCCGGCTCGAACCTAACTACCGTATTCTGCATCGCACACCATATCGCCTCTCGGTCCCCGAAGCCCACGAACTTAAACGCCAAATTGACGAGCTGCTTCGTCAGGGCTTCATTAAACAGAGTACGTCCCCATGGAGCGCACCTGTCCTCGTCGATCGCAAGAAGGACGACACCCTCCGCCTTTGCCTCGACCACCGCGGTCTCAACGACTATACGGTCAGAAATAGTTACCCTATGCCTCACGCGGATGATCTGTTCGACCGCCTCTCCGGCCACCACTTTTTCACGAAGATCGATCTTCGTAGCGGATATCACTAGACCCATGTAGCCGAGGAGGACCAGCCTAAGACCGCTTTTCGTTCTCGTTTTGGGCACTACGAGCTTACCGGGATGCCTTTCGGTCTTCGTAATGCCCCTGCCACCTTTCGGATAGCTATGAACACGATATTCCAAGACCTTTTTGAGGAATCGGTCCTAGTCTACATTGATGACATCCTAGTCTATTGTCGTACCTTAGAGGAGCGCCCGATCCACCTTCACACTTTCCTCCAACGATTATGTGACTATGGGTTTTATGCAAAGCTCTCCAAATGTCGCTTCGCTCAAACCAAAGTCGACTTCCTTACACACTAGGTCTTTGAGCATGGACTCCACATGGACGACTCGAAGATTCAGGCTTTTGTCGATTGGCCCTGGGCCACTCCTACCTCTCTTCCTGCGCTACGTAGTTTTTCTTAAAAAATACGCGTAGTATACTGCCCAGCTTACCCCTCTGACCCGCAGACGTCTACCCTTTCATTGGACCCCGGCTCATGAGGATGCCTTCCGCTCTCTCAAGCGGCTTGTCACGTCAGCTCTCATTCTACACCTCCCTGACTACTCTCGTCCATTCAATGCCACCACGGACTCCTCAGACTTTGCTATTGGAGATGTCGTATCTCATATCTACTCAACCCCTTCTACTTCACCCGATTCCACGGAGTCTCGACTCCCGTGCATTCCCCGATTCCCTCCTCCACCTCCAGCGACTGCAGCTCACCTCGCACCCATTGAGCCTACTCCTTCAAGAGCCCCCCCTCCATACATTCCTAACGTCGCCGACGACGGTACACTCGAGTCTCGTGATGGAGAGTGTCCGGTTGCTTATCTCTCTCAACAACTTCTTCCCGCAGAGTGTAACTACACTGCGGAGGAGCGTGAGGTTTTCGCGCTGGTTTACGCTGTTAAGAAGTGGCGTCATCATCTACACGGCCATACCTTCACCGTGCTCACGGACAACTCTGTCCTCGTCGTATTTCTGATGAAGCGTAAACTCACTTCTCGTCAGACTCATTGGTGCGGTGATTTTTTCAAGTTCGACTTCACTATCAGAAAGATCTTTGGCGAGAGCAACCATGTAGCAGATGCCTTACCCCATCGCCCTGACCTTAAGTGTGATGATCGACAACTCTCTGCTCTTTTCGTCTCTACTCCCACTATCCATCATGCTTTCCTTAATGAGTATCGCCGTGCTTACCCCCATTGTTATGAGTTTTAGTCCATCTACGTTGATTTACAGCCTGGTAAAATTGTCCCTAACTTCCAGCTCGACTTCTCAAGACTCCTGTATTGGCTTGGACTCAATCATCCTCGTACTCCTCGCTTATGTGTGCCTTATAACGCCCATCTCCACGTTCGAGCAGTCGCTGAGAGTCATGATGAGCGCGCCGCCGGTCATTTCAGTGTCTACAAGACTCTTGACCACCTCTATTGACATTACTATTGGAGGCACCATCGCACCTTCGTTAAGGAGTATGCCCACACGTGCAAGATCTGCCAAGAGGCTAATATTATGAATCATCCCCCCTACGGTCTTCTTCAGCCCTTACCCATTCCTACTCAGCGTTGGACTTCTGTCTCTATGAACTTCGTCGGTCCTCTTCGTCCCCCTACACGAGGCCACAACGCCATCTTCGTTGTTGTTTGTCGGCTGACTAAGCATGCTCACTTCCTCCCATGCAAGTATGCTAGCTCAGCTAGAGACATCGCCTCACCCCATTTTAACCGCATCGTCATTCATCACGGTCTTCCTACTAGCATTACCTCTGACCGCGACCCCCACTTCACTTCCCACTTCTGGTGTGGACTCCACGAGATCTACGGCTCTGAGCTTCGCTTCTCCTCTTCTTACCACCCCCAGTCAGACGGACAGACCGAGGTCACCAACAAAACTCTTGGGAATATTCTCAAGAAGTTTGTTGAGAATGACTCCGATTGGGACCTTCATCTCACTTATGCCGAGATTGCTTATAACCATGCTATTTCACCAGCCACCGGCATGTCTCCTTACTACTGTGACTTGGGATATCACCCTCATGTCCCATCTGATATCCTTCGTCTATCTCAGATCCATCCTGACACAAAATACCTTGCCCTTGATGACTGGGTTAAGGAGATGGATGAGATTCTTAGCAACGCTCGCAAGAGCATTGCTGACCCCCAGACTCGCATGGCTACTAGCGCCAATCGTTCTCGCATCGATCACCCCTTCAAAAGTTGGCGACGAAGTCCTTGTCGACGCACATCACTTCCAGCCTGAGGCCGACACGCTTCGGAAATTCAGACGTCGATATATCGGTCCATGCACTATTCTCTCACCCGCCGGACCTCACGACTGTTCGGTGAGCTTCAAATTGAAGCTCCCCCATTCCATGTATCACGCTAACATACATGATGTGTTTCATGTATCTCTATTGCGCCTCTTGAGACGATCTCCCCCTGAGTTCCACGATTGACCTTACCCTTGCCCCTCTCCCATCATCATTGAGGGTCACGAGGAGTTTGTCGTCTTTGATATTGCGTCCCGGCGTATGACTGCTGGTGACCCTCCCCGCCTCGAGTATCTCGTTCGTTGGAAGGGTTACCCTGACAAGGAGTCTACTTGGGATCCTCTCGCTCACCTGCGGCATGCTATGACTTTCGTGCGTGCTTACGATCATGCTCGTCCTTTCCCTTCATCATTCTCACCTCCTTCTCGTCCTTCTACTGACCTATCTTCTTCAGCGACCACTAACATTACCCCTCCTCCATCGACAGGTCCTCTCGCTCCACTAGTACCTGCCTCAGGTCCTCCTTCCCCCGTGGATGTGGTCCTGTCTATTGTTGCAGTTGCTTCCTCTCGCCCTCAGCGTACCCATCGACTTCCTTCTCGCTATCGTGACTGATCTATACCCCCTATACGCTCTCTATCTCTTACCATTATTTGACACTTATGCAACAGCTCCCAGTTTCGGCTTCTACATTCAACTTCTACATTCGGCATCTACATTCGACTTCTACATTCGACTTCCGACCCCAGTGCTTCTCTTCAGTACCAGAGTACCCGTCACAGTGTCCCAGACTTGTACTCGGTTTCTGCGCTACTCCTGAGCACGGGGTTCCCTTGGCTACTTCGACTCGACCTCAATCTGGCGACTCATCAGTTGACTACTTCATCTTTTCGGCCACAAAGTTCCCTCATTCCCATCTACCCTTCACCCTCGAGTTTACCCTCCAGTCGCATGATGACCCCTGTTTTCCCTGAGCATGTGGGTGTGTTCGTCTGCCACCCTTCTGCCTTACCCTATGTTAATCGCCCTCCTCCGGTGTGTACGTTTTTCTTTGCTCGCAGCCCTTGGCCATATTTTTATGCTAGCATAGCCCTCCCTATCCTCCCAGGCTCGCTTGTGTGCTCCCTTGTGTGAGTGTCCTTTTTACTTTTAGCTGGCGGTGTCTGCTTGATGTTTTCTTTTGAGCCTGATGTCGTGTTGTTATTCTCACTCTGAGCCTGATGATGTTTCATATGGTTGTGTGGGTACCCCCTTGGAGTTTACTCTGAGAGCTGTACTTGCCGCCCTCCCATTCATCCCTACTTTTCCCATGCGACCGAGCTCCCTGTCTTCTATTCGGCTATTGTGTACTTGCATAGGGCACGTGACACTGTGCCACATTCTTTTTCGGTATGGATATTGATGTAGTTACTCTTTAGCCTTTAGGGCTTAGGTGTTGACTTATGCTCAGCCACATTGGCTTAGAAGACATTGTCCTCTTTCTTGGCCGACACAGGTCAAACATTTATTTTTTTGCATTTTGGGTCGACTCAGACCAGACATTGTTGTATAGATTAGGCTTGAGGTTTAGTCTGCATTGCATCTCTTTTCTGCACAGAGCTTGCTCCGCATTTAGGATTGATTCTTTGTCGTTCCTCCGGATAGCGTGTTGATGTATCGAATGATCCATTTACGGGTCCGAGGATCATGTAGCGGTACCCGTTCGGCCCGGCAGTGAGGCCGAACCTGTTTCAGGCCGTTGGCCTGACCCCGATCCGGTACGGGGTTACTCCGGCCTGGACCAAGGCCGATATATCTCTCCGGCCTAGGCCCAGGCCGGGTTGGTCATTCACTCAATTGTTTGTTCATTCATTGATGCGAACTGGACCTTCACTCAGCTGCTGCTTCTCGTGTGTGTCCATCTCCTTTCTCTCTCACCATCTCCGTACGTGCCCTCCGCACGTGCGTCACAACAACAGCAAAGCACTACCGGCCTGTGGCTGTGGTAGCCGCCGGGCTCGCCCAGGGACACGGAGGAAAAGGGACTGACGCAGTCTTTTCCACTGTGCGCCGAGCCCTCTCCAGTCGAGTTATGGGACGTGCATAGTGAACTACGGTCACTGTCGAGGCAAGGAGGAAGCAAAAAAAGGAAAAATAAATAAATAAAAGCAAGAAAAGACTCGTGTAAAATCCGCACCTCGAATTAAATCGTTACTTCCATCGTCGGGTCACAGCAGTGTTACGCTTCTTCTTATCTCTTTCTTGTCCTTGTTGTTGTTATTATTATTATTATTATTATTATTATTATTATTATTATTATAATTATTATTTTCTTATTATTATTATCCTCCTACCCCTTAAGCGCAGGCTGCCCATGGGGAGAGGTTGTGTTCCGCTGCGCGCCGGAATCGGGCCGAAGTTTTGATTCGGGCCGGCGGATGAGGGCGATCGAGGGAGGGGTGGTGTGCAGAGCGGTGCACGTACCGAACTGTTCACAGCGCGCCAGAAAACGAGAGGGCGCGCCCACGGGGCTGAGCGGCAGCGGGCGTCGATGCTAGGGACGTCCCGAAGGGGCCGCCGTCCAATAAACAGGTGACCTTTTTTTTTTTTTTTTCCTTCTTCTTTTTTTTTTTTTTTTTCTTTTTTTTTTTCTTTCTTTCTTTTTCTTTTCTTTTCCAGAATTGTTTTTCATTTTTTTTTTTCGTTCATGTTTTGTTTTGTTTTCTTTATTTCTTTTTCTTTTATTTTCTTTTATTTTCTTCTCTTTTCTTTTTCGTGCCGCGTTTGTCGTTCTTGATTTTTTTTTTTTCATTTTAGCGCATCATGTTTTTCTCTT